GGATCTCCCAGAATGGGGTCTTGAGATCTTACCTCTGGAGGCTTTTCCCAGAAATTCTGATGCTGGCTCAGTCCTCATCATTTGATCCCGGATGAGCCCCCAAATGATGGGGTCCATAATCAAAGCAGCGAGACTGATACAAAGTGAAGGTCAAGCAATTTATTTCATGCCAGCACAGAGAATCAAACCGACTGGCCAGGCCATCTTTTACAGAGAGAGAGAGAGAGACCACCCCCAGCTTCACAGACTAGCTTCTATAGAGCAAAGGCCATGTGGTTGAGCCTGGCCAATGAGATTGTCTCCACCTGGCCTGACTCATCCTTGCATTCTGGGCTCTGTTATCTCCACCTGACCTGACCTGTCCTTGTATTTGGGCTCTGTTATCTCCACCTGACCTGACCTGTCCTTGTATTTGGGCTCTGTTATCTCCACCTGACCTGACCCGTTCTTATATTTGGGCTCTGTTATCAGGGACTGGTCGACCATATTTTACTGGTTTCCAAGACTTGCTTTTAAGTAAGTTCCTCTGTGCAGGGTCAGTTTAAGTTTGACTGCACAAACAACAAAATGTCTGTTTAACTGAGATGGAGTTGCTCTGGCTAAGTAGGCCCCTACACTTTCAGGATTTTCTCTTTGTTTCTGAGACTTGTAAGTTTTACTATTAGATGATGGGGTGTGGACCTATTTTTATTGATATTGAGGGTTTTTTTCTGTGCCTCCTGGTATTTGATGCCTGTTTCCTTCCCCAGATTAGAGAAGTTCTCCACTATAATCTTCTCCAATATCTTCTGCCCCCTCCTCTTTCTTCTTTTTCTGGGATCCCAATTATTTTAATATTGTCTTGTTTTATGGTATCACTTATCTCTTGAATTCTCCCCTTGTGATCCAGTAGTTGTTTATCTCTTTTTTCTCAGCTTCTTTGTTCTCCATCATTTGGTCTTCTATATCACTAATTCTCTCTTCTGCCTCATTTATCCTAGCAGTAGAAGCCTCCATTTTTTATTGCACCTCATTAACAGCTTTTTTTTTTATTTCAACTTGGTTAGATTTTAGTTCTTTTATTTCTCCAGAAAGGGATTCTCTAGTATCATCTATGCTTTTCTCAAGCCCAGCTAGCATCTTTATAATCACCATTCTGAACTCTGATTCTGACATCTTACTAATGTCCTAATTGATTAGGTTTCTAGCAGTCAGTTCTGCCTCTTGTTCTTTTTTTTTGAGGTGAGTTTTTCTGCCTTGTCATTTTATCCAGAGAGGAATAGATGAATGAGAGAACAAAATACTAAAAGGGCAACAATGACACCAGAAAAATATACACTAACCAAATTAGAAGAAACCCAAAACTGGGGGGAGAAGAGAGGGAAAAAAAATATGACTAGACTGGTGAATAGAACAGAGCCACACACTTGATTTTGGGTGTATTTTGGTCTGTTAGAAGAAACTGCCTCCCAAAACTTTAAAGAAAGAAAAACATATATGTACAAAAATAAGGATAAACACGATGAAGGGACAGAATATGACTGTAAAGATGAAAATTATTAAAAGTTTTTTTTAAAAGGAACTGATAAGATAAAATAGTTAAAATATGTTAAAATAGAAAAGAGGAAATAATTTTAAAACTAGAATAAGAAAAAATAAAATTAAAAAAAATTTAACTTTGAAAGACTAAGGAATAATGGGAAAAAAGCCATGAATTCTATGTGGGGTATTATTCCTCTAGCTCTGGAGTTCCACAGTTCTCATTGATTGGTGAACTTGATCTTGGCTAGATATTCTTGCTGCTCTTCTGGGGGTGGGACTCTTGCAGTAATTTTCAAGTGTTTTTACCTATGTAATGTTCCTATTAATTGCTTAGGGCATAATGACTAATGAAGAATATTCTTGGATTCTGTGTACAAAAGAAGACTTCCAAGGATGGCCATGCGGGGTGCTGTTTGGATGAGGTAGGGGAGGGGGTGTCTCATGACCAGGGAGGTAAGTGGCATTTCCACCTCTTTCTGCCTTGTCCTACTAATGATTCATCAGTTTCTTCCCTGAAACCCAGGCTGGTTTCCTAGTTGTTTTTTTTTTTTTTTTTTTTTTTTTTTTTTTTTTGGCACAGCTTGGTGTTTCTGTTCTAATTTCAGCTGCACATCTGTGTGTCCTTTCTGCATAGAATCTCATACCCCCTGAGCAGGGCGGGTTGCATCTTATGCTGTGCCCACAGCCACCTGTGTTCCATCTTTGCCCTCTTCACTCCCTCCCTCCCTCTCCCACTCCCCTTCTCTCTACCTGGCTGCGAGGAGTGAGCTCAGCACACTTCCAGTTTTGAGCAAAACTGTCTTACAGGGGATTTGTTTTTGTCCCCTGAACAATCAACAACCCAAGACCCAAGAGTGTTTCTGTGACCAATTCCTCTTCTTTCTGTCAGGTACCCAAGTGTCGTATTTTTCTGTGTCTTACAGAGGACACAAGGTAAACGTTATGTACTACATGCGAGTGTCAGGGACATGGGGGTGGGTGAATTATCACCCCCCCTTTTTTAGTTTTACCTTAAATAGTGACTGCAGTTTTATTTTGCTAAATATTGATTTCTATATGGAGTTCAGTCATTAGACTGTGAATCCTTCTTCTGTTCTCAGTTTCTGAGGCCACAGGGGACTTGGTGTGGCTTTCCCTGCTTTGACTGAAAGAATGACTGTCCCTGCATTATTGAGTCAGTCCTCTTCTCCTGAGCCCTTGGATTCCTCATGCTCTGTCTCACAGTGAAATATGGGGCAGTGAGGCCACATAGGATGCTAGACAAAACGAGCCACTTTTGCTTCACTGGTTCAGAGTTTTTAAAACTGTGTATGTTTGTTTTAATTTGGTAATTTTCTGGACAGGAGTTGTCTTGCTCTTCTCAATTCCTTTCCATTTCATCTTGATTCAGTACCAAACTAGGGAAGAGAAAATGGAAAAAGAAGGTCCTGGACCATTAGTTTCCATCACTTTCAATACATCATTTTCTTTTTTTTCTTTCTCCACTCAGCTTTGCTAGAAAACTGTCATCACATTTGGATGCTTTGAGGCAACAGGAACTCAAAGGCAATCTGACCAGGAAGGGAAGGACAATACTAAGGCGACTCCCAGGTGAGAGAAAGACATCAGGAGCTCTTCTCTTTGGCGACCTTGCCTTCCACCTGCTGCCCTGTGGTTTCTGTATGGTTCCAATCCACAGAGCAGCCTACTGACATTCCACACAGTAGGAATCAAAATAATAATAAATTAGCATTGTAAGTAATGAAATGTGCCATGCTTTAAAAGAAATACATATTAAACAGATGGACATGATTTGCTAATGTTTCAAATCCATGAATCGACCCAGAGACACATACATTGCAAAAGAGGGAATTCTGCAGAAAAAAAAATGCACAAAATTTCCAATTCCCATTCTGTTTTCTGTTGCATTTCAGAAGGCAAATCTCTCACAACTATTTTCTCTGAACACATTAACTTCACTTCTCTTATTCACTCTCTCCCTTTACCTTCCAATATGGTTTCTGTTGATGAATTCTGGCAAGACAGCTCTCACTAAAGTTTCAATGCTACCTATATACAGGGTGGTAGACACTTCCCATCCACATTTTGCAATGTTGCAATTCTTTGAAGCACTTTTTTCTTTGAAATACTCTGACCAGTATTCTCTTATCCTACTGCCTTAGGGCCATTTCACCTTTGTTTCCTTTGTGGCTCTTTTCTCCCTTACCATTTGAAAGTTTACAAAATTAATTATTTTATTTTATTTTATTTTATTTTATTGAGAGAGAGAGTGTGAGTACAAGTGGGGGTTGCGGGAAGGGTGGAGAGAGAGGGAGAAGCAGACTCCTCAATGAGCAGGGACCCTGTCCATTGCGGGGTTCCATCCCAGGACCCTGAGATCATAACCTGAGCTTAAGGCAGAAGCTTATCCCACTGAGCTACTCAAGTGCCCATCGAGGAATTAATCTTAAGTTCTTTTCTCATGCTCTACTCTTCCGATATGACCACTTCTGCTCCCAGGCTTTTGGTTAATAGAGCTGCTTATAAATCACAGACTCAAATATCCATTTTCCAAGAACTTTTACAGTTGGATATCTATCAGTCAATTGTAGAAGAGATCTATTGTTTCTGTTTCTGTTTCCTGAAAATGACTTACTGCAGCTTCTGCTGAGAGAACTCCATTTTTCCCCTTCTCATTATATCACTTAACATAATTGGTACTACTTCAAAATGATTATTGTTTTTAGGTTGGTTTCTCCACAAAAATCCATGGTACAAAGCAGGATTGGATTTATAATGTCCACCTCTATCCTGACAGCAATACACAAACTGGTTTAGAGAAAGTCTATTTTTAATTTATAGCGTGAATAACATAATACTGAGTAGGTGCATTGTACAATCCATTCTTTCGTCAGGTTATAATCAGGCTTGTTTCTCTCTCTTTTTTTTTTAAAAAGATTATTTATTTATTTATTTGACAGGAAGAGATCACAAGTAGGCAGAGATGCAGGCAGAGAGAGAGAGGAAGGGAAGCAGGCTCCCTGCTGAACAGAAAGCCGGATGCGGGACTTGATCCCAGAACCCTGGTATCATGACCTGAGCCAAAGGCAGAGGCTTTAACCCACTGAGCCACCCAGGCTCCCCTCAGACTTGTTTTTTTTTTTTAAAATAATAAATACGATAATTTTTCTATACAAAATATTTAATAAAGAAAGGAAATAATAAATTAAACAAATATAAAGGATATATGTTTTCTCTTAACCACAAAGAGAAATTATACCTAATGTTGTTCAAAGATAATTTAAATCTTATAAATAGTTAAATAAATAAGTTATTAAATAGATACATCAATAGATCAGCATAGTCATCTGAAAGCAACTAGTTCTTGTAGAGCTGATATGCTCTACATGATGTCACTTAATACTCCTGAAAACATTTGACAAATTGATTCCATCGTGTCATGATTATAGCAGAAATGAGAGTCTTTGACCTGGTAGAACACAAGGAAGTATGATATTATTTGTCAGTGAGAGTCGTCACCATGTTGAACCAGGTCTCGTTTCTTGCCCCTTAACCTTTCTTGCAAGGTTGTTGATGAAGAGAAAGCTTTCATGATCTCTGCTCTGACCATCTCCCAGGCACAAGGGCTGTATTGCTTCTCTTGCAGATAGAGGGAGATTCTTTGGAAGTAGTTCCTCAGGATGGAGTCCCCATTCACCAGGGGCATCTCTCCCACCCCTGCCTCCTGCAGGGGACAGGCTTCCAGGTGGCCCAGCTGCTCAGAAAGTCCTGAGCACAATTCCTCCAGGAGGGTCGTGTTCCAGGGAGCAGGTGAGGCCTCTCTGCAGAAGAGGTGGAAGGTCTTCTGGTTTGTCACATGGACGACAGAGAGGGCTTGAGCCTTCTGCAGCTGCTTGCCGTCAAACACCTCTTGGGGGAAGGCAAAGTCATTTCTGTCCCCCAGGCAGGAAAAAGGGGAGACTCTCCTCATTTGTCGCAGGAGCATCAAGGCCCTCCAGTTCAGCAGACCATGGTCCTGAGGCAGGTCACATCCCAGAGAGCCGAGGGAGTGGCAGCTGAGCACCACCAGGGCCACCAAGAAAGAGCAGGGCAGGGCCATTGGCGATCCTGCAGATGCTGTTGGTCTGGCTGGGGTGGGCACGTCTGGGAACCGTGGCTCTAGGTTCTCTGAACATCTTCTCTTGTGCACACTCTTAAATGGGGATGCATTAGTTTCCATTTTCTGAATGTTCCTCTTACTTCCTACTTTTGTTTTTGTTTTTCATTTTGCATTCACCAAATGGGTTTAGAGCAGTGTTTCTCAACAATTTCATTTCATTATTGTCTCCCCTTCCCTTGACCCCAGAGTCATTTTAGATATTTTTTTGCTAATTGAATCCCTCATGAAATTTTAATGACACAGTTATCCTCTATATCTATTTGTGTCCTCTCTATGTATCTGTACTTTATACATAGAAAGAAAAGAGTGCCAAACTTGACTCTCTTATCCAATGCAGGATTAAGATTGACAAAAATTTTAAGCTATAAGTAAATTTAGAAGTTATTAACATTTTATTTATCTTTATAGCTAAGTTTTCAGAGCAAATTTTAATACACTTACATATATAGTAATGTATTAAAATCTTACTCAAATTTAAAATTGTACCAATACAATACATAATAATGATGACTGCAATGATATACTTAAGCATTTATTAGAAGTACTCAAAACAATTGAAAATTCACAGTATTTTCCTGACATGTATTTTTAGGTCTTAACTTCTAATTTTGCTTCATATCAGAAAATAATTTTTAATTTCACTGACTGCTTGATATTCATCCAGATATTCTCAATATTTATTCCTTTTCAGCAATTAATATAATTATTGTGTTTAATAACTTTAGTAGAATTAAATGATCAAATATGAACAACTTGCATCTAATTCTAAAGCCCAGTTCACACTGAGGCTCCACCATACGCAACATAAACAGACAATAATGGCAGCTACTAAGTAAGGGAAGGCCACCTCTCACCTCTCACAATACAGCTTTGAAATCAAGCAAATGATGGAGGAAGAGTCCTCTGGTGAGCAATCTGTTTGATGTAATTTTATTGCTCTGAACTTGCATTTTCTGTAACTTTCATGAACTCAGTGTCAATACTTCACATAAGATACTCAAGAAAAACCAACAAGATAAGAGATAGTGAGAAAATAAATATTAAGGAATAGGATTTTGTTGAACAGGTTTGATTTAAAGAGCAGCAATCATTGTAATACCTAAGATTTGTTCACTCTTCAACAACTAATTTTTGCACCATTGGTAGTAAAAATCGGCAAGTAAAAGAACATAATCAATGTGAATCCTTTTTTAAAAGATGTTTTAAAAAGATTTTAAATTTTATTTATTTGACAGAGAGAGAGAGAGAGATCACAAGTAGGCAGAGAGGCAGGTAGAGGGGGAGGGGGAAGCAGGCACCCTGCTGAGCAGAGAGCCTGATGTGGGGTTCGATCCTAGGACCCTGAGATCATGTCCTGAGCTGAAGGCAGAGGCTTTAACCCACTGAGCCACCCAGGCGCCCCTTCTTTTTAAAAAGATTTATTTAGTTATTTGAGAGAGAGAGAGCAGGAGGAGGGGCAGAGAGAGAGGGGGACAGAATCTCAAGCAGACCCCCCTTGGAGACTGTTGTCCAATGCAGAGCTTCATCTCACCACCCTGAGATCATGACCTGAGCCGAAACCAAAAGTGGGATATTTAACTGACTGAGCCACCCAGGCACCCCTGAATCTTTGTTTATATTTTTGCATGTAATTTCAAATTTCCCAAGGGACTTTCAGAGGAATAGATGAGTTGCAAACTGATCTATTCCAAAAAAAAGGAAAGTTTTTTGTCCGAAATTCAAAACCGTGTAAATATTATTATCATGTGACAAACTTACTCTCACCTTCGATTCTGAACTCTTTTCGTTTTGCATAGGAAGTTACCTTGCCTTACCCCTCTCTACATTCCTACTCTTTACCTAGAAGATACATAGCCATCTTTGACATACCAGCTCCTAGTCATGGACTCACGTGGCCCTCCTTGGCATGGGGCCCAGTGCCCTGGCTCAGTATGTCATGTTAACTGCAGCATGCTCTCCGATCTCTTCATCCTACCAGGAGGCATTCATGAATGACCAAAATGGTTTGCTTCATCATGGCCATGTTTGCTAGGACTATATGAGACCATGCCTGAAATATCCACTCTACTCTTCCTGGTGTCAACAATGTCTACTGGGATTATTGCTGAAACCACTGGGATTCTAGTTGCTTTCAGGTGCACAGGGATCTGGGGTTTGGGTTGCAAGAGCACAATTTTCAGCTTTTGCCCAGCACTAGAGGAAGCCCCCAAGGACGGTCTCATCTCAAATTTGCCTTAACTTGGTCATCACAGAAAAAATAACTAGCCTGGTGTCCTACAGAGTGCCACACATCTAAACTCAAATTCTCCCCCATTCACACGGCCTACAGCAACCAGGCTAGTAATCCATGAGTTGTGGTAGATCTTTCCTGAAGCGGCACTGAATGAGCTTTATCCTGAGGTGCTCTGGAGATAACTCAGACAACAATGAACAATCAATTGGATGCTCTTTTCTCCATCCATCTGAGAGGGAGACTGGGCTCCACTTCAGTTTGATTTCCACAGTTTGGCAGGTAAAAAGCAGAGTGTGACTTCAGGTCAAAAAATGAAGATGTGGATTCTCAGTTCTTGGCCCCACTTGCTCTTTCTTGCTAATATACCTACTCACTCTTCTTTGGTACTAAGGATGGTTATATTGTCTCTTTTAGATGGCAGTCATGGAGCTTTTAATGAACTGCTAATGAATGTTTGGAAATTGTTGAAATCTTAACCCTGAAATGATGCTATCTGGTGGGGGCCCTTTGGAGGTGATGAGAGTACAAGGCCATATCCCTGATGAAATCGGGGCCTTTATAAGAGACACACTGATGTTGGATTTCCAACTTCTAGAACTGTGACCAATGAATTTCTGTTCTTTACAAGTTAACTAGGATTTTTTTTTTTTTTTAAAAGCACCCAAAGGGACTGAGCCCTGACCTGCCCTATTTTCTCCTTGGAATATCTCCCTCCAGGTGTCTGTAAAATACCTAAGGGGAGAGACTTCCTCTTACCCAACTTGTTTTTCTAGGCATCCAGTACCAGTCTCCATTGTTTCCAGTGCACCGTCAATATTCACGAGGAAAACAAGTATGGCAATTATAGGAGAAAGAATAATACGAGCAAATACTACAGAGGTATGCTTTATGTAATGTGGGAGTTCAACAGATCTGAAGATCCTTTATAAATTCCTCTTGGTTCTATAAGGAAAGTTATAATGGAATAGCCAGTGGGGGATTTAAAAACAAAAGAAAACAAGACCAAAAAATGTCTACGGGCAAGAAAATTTCCTTCACATTTGTATTTTCAGTATTTAGGGTAGCAGGATGAGAATCACAAGGTTGGTTATCAGTAGAAGACTCACTCTCCTCTTTTATTTCAGTGAGCCCCAAGGACCTGCAAGGAACTACCTCCTCTTGCCTTGCTCACCTACCTCACCTAATGAGGAAATAACTTTGAATTTTACAGAGTGTTCCGAGACCTCATCTCTACCCTTCTGGTGTCAGGCTGTGCCTTAGGGAATCAACTTGAATGCTTCTTTCAAAGGGTCAGTGATGTTATCAGTTCTAAAGAGTGATAGCCACTGACTCTCGCCCTGGTTTAAATTGTGTCAGGTCAGCTGTTTGGGCTTTTCAAAGTGTGTGCTGCCAACTTATTGGTTATTTTTCCCCTTGAAAAAGCATTAGTACGGGGGCACCTGGGTGGCTCAGTGGGTTAAAGCCTCTGCCTTCGGCTCAGGTCATGGTCCCAGGGTCCTGGAATCGAGCCCCGCATCGGGCTCTCTGCTTAGTGTGGAGCCTGCTTCCTCCTCTCTCTCTGCCTGCCTCTCTGCCTACTTGTGATCTCTCTCTGTCAAATCAATAAATAAAATCTTAAAAAAAAAAAACCCAACTCCTTAAAAAAAAAAAGCATTAGTACGCCTAATGTAACAATGAAGCCTGCTCTTTTTCATTGAACTTGTTTCCTCTTTATGAGTCACCCCAGCAGTCTGCTTCTCAGTGGAAACTTCTTTACACTGAGACCACCCATGAGAATAAATTCGGGCCACACAAATGTTGATGAAGTGATATTGCCCTGCACTGGTACAGTTTGGGTCCCTGAAATCATCCCCTGTGCCCCTGTGATCCACCCCACGTTTCCCCTTTGCAAATGATCGGAATAGGCTCAAGTACCACAGACACATTTGGAGTCCTATGCGGAATATGGCAAAGTCACAGAAGAGAAGGTTTCAGTGTCCCTGAATCACTGTTTGAAGAAGAGCCAAACAGTGGAGTCATCTGAGCAGGAACTCCTGTTATAGTTATATAATATATAATATATAACATATTACAAGATATTATATAATATATATAATCTATATTATATTATATATAAAGGTATACAGTTATATAATTCCTGTTATAGTTTTCTGTAGATCAGTTACAGCGGCCGGCATTCATTTAACTGACACATATCTTCAACAAAATACTATCCTCAAGTATTTTTCATAAAGGATTGGACTTTATATTTTGGAGATGCAAAATATACCCCAAAACTTAAACAGACTTAAAAAAATTACATCATAAAGTCATTTATTTAAGAAAGTAGATCATGTTCTCTCTGAAGATGTTTTCTGTAAATCCATTCTAGACAATACATTTTTTTTTAAGTTCATGATTTTGGTTCAGCTATTTCTCATCTGATGCTCAGGCGGCTGTGTTTCTTTTCCTTCAGATAGAGATGGATGCTTTGGAAATCCTTCCGGACCACGACCCCCAGACACAGACAGGCAGGGTAGTCTTCTTCCCTGGGCTTCCGGTGTCCCAGGCAGCGATGAAGGCTGGAGAGGAGGTCATGGAGGGTGGCGTGCCTCCAGGCAGCCTGGCTGTGGTCTGTGCTGAAGGAGTTGAAGACCTGCGGGAGCATCTGGCGGTGGAAACAGGTGCTTTGTGTCTTCTGGATTTGGGTGACGGTCCATCTTTCCCAAGGAACTCTGAGGTAGGTTCTGTCCTTCAGGCATGTGTGAGAGAGGACACTTTTCAGCTGTCTCATAGTATGAGGATGTTGTGTACTCTGGGCTATGGTTCCA